TAACTTCTGCTTTTCGAGGGTAAAAGCTCTATTCTGACCAATAACATAAAAAGTTCAGAGGATGAGCTAGCTGGTAAGGAATGGAAATGAGAGCAACATTAGCTCAACGGTGCTGCAGTAGACTTGAGTGAGACATCCAGCAGCTAACCACTGGAATTCCCAGGCATGGAATCAGGAGCAACAAGGGATGGAGTCTGTGTGTTGTTGGGTCAGGGGGAGACTGGGAGAGTCTCTCATAGGTTTGGCCTGTTAAAGACTCGCCTGAGGGGGAAAACCAGCACCTATTGGTGTTGGCTGAATAGCAATCCCTCCACCACCTAGGTGGTGGTGAAGGAATAGAGTGGAAATTTCTCTGGGATGTGAAGTGGAAATTAAAGAAGTGGAAATTAAAACAGTGAGAGTTACTCATTCGAGACCAAGGAAATGATACAATCCCCATGACTATAAACATTGAAAAGAGTCATGAACAGGAAGACATTAGGATGGCATTTACCTATTAAATTGGGAGAACATTCAGGTATAAACTTATAGTGGTTAATAAAATAATAGTTGAAGATAATAAACTTTAGAAAGTTATTAAAATCCCAGGGAATTCAAATCTTACAGGTATTTAACTTACTTGGAAACGTGCGCGCGCGTGCGTACACACACACACACACACACACACACACTGTTAAAAAGAGAGACAGGCAAAGAAAACAAAAGGGACAGAAGGAGAAGAAGGAAGCAGGGAGGGAGAAATGGTAACAGTGGGGCAGCAGGAGAGGCTTGAGAAGAAACCTTTTGTCTGTCCAGGTGCATGTTCCCCTGATAAAACAAGTCAATCTCTCTTTCTCTCCAGGTGTGTGCACGTCTCTCTCTCTCTCTCTCTCTCTCTCTCTTCTCTCTCTCTCTCTTTCTCTCTCTCTCTCTCTCTCTCTCTTTCTCTGTCTCTCTCTCCCTCTATCTCTTTCTCTCCATCCCCACCTCCCACCCCAGCCATGTAAGCATGTAACTAGGAGAACCCTTACCAAGGACCTGACACTGTGGGCACCCTGACCTCAGAATTCCAGTCTCCAGAACCATGAAAAATAAATGTTTGTTGTTTTAGTTACTCACTCAATCTACAGTATCCTGTTATACCAAGCCAAACTGACTAAAACAGTAAGATTAATTTCTATAAACCCAAGTTTATTCTATTCAGAGTCAACAAGCTTTCCATATAAGAAAATAGGACAGAGATAGATGCACAGAAGGAAGAAGATATGTGAAGACAGAGGCAGAGATTAGACAAGCCAAAGAATGCCAGGATCTCCCAGAAGATAGAAGAGACCAGGAAGTATCCTCTCTAGAACATTCACAGGGAGAATGACCCTACTGCTACCTTGATTTCAGACAGCCTCTAGGCCTGGGAGAATACATTTCTGTTGTTTCAAGCCACTCATTTTGTGGATTTTTTTTTATTATATCAACACTAGAAAACTAATACACCAAGGAAAATAACAGTGTCAGAAGTAGTACATACCTAATGACTTAAGTGTCAGGCTATGTGGCAATAAGCAATGCTATATTATCCTAACAGTAAAGAAAGACAATAACAATAGATCTCATTTTACACAAAAGGTACATGCTAGAACAGTTGTGACATATGCAAGTATTGGTATGACAAATTATATACTCACTGACTTGAATTGCCTAATTTTAGAAATGTATTCCCTACAATGTAATACAATACAGCTTATAAAAACTACATTTACATTTCTTTGCTGATAAAGGACAGCATTATAAAAGCATTACACATTCTGAAAGGATTATACCATGCCATAAATCTGAGAATTTTTAATTATTCAGCTATTTCCTTAAAAACAAGCACTAACACCTCATAATAGCATTGAAAGTGTTTTTATTAAAATTGGCTGCCTTGAGGAGCAATGTAGAGACAGAATAAAAAATTACTAATTTCTTCATACAGATAATGTTTTTTAAGCACTTTTAATTAGATGATCTTGGTAAAGAATTGCTGACATGCTCTAAAATTTTATAATATCTATTTAAAAGTACACATTAAATTGCATATTAAAATACTGGGGTGGGGAGGTATTTTACTGTTTTGTATTCAAATAGCTTTCAAAAATTAATCCATGAACCATGACTAGGTATGCAGTTTTCATTGTTGTTTAGGAACAGTTTTCAACTTTCAAGGGGGAAAGGCTCAATTAGAAAATAAAAGAAATTGTTTTGGGGGCCTCCCTGGTGGCGCAAGGGGTTAAGTCTCAGCACTATGAAGGAATCTGCAGCCACTGCAGCACGTGTTCGATCCCCAGCCAGGGAGGTAACCCACATGGTGCAGCAGACCTCTCCTGTCTCGCCCACTGCTCCCCTTAGCAGTGTATTTCAGTCAGTCTGCCTGTTCTGTTCCCCACTCTGTCTCTGGTGAATCTTCTTACCCCCCTGCACCTCTGGCTTACACCCTAGCTCTTGTATGCATAAATAAAATAAATCCTTAAAAAAAATGTCAAAGCCAGCCTCTTGCTTATGTCACTTATGTGACATTTCAGTGTGGCCAGAGGATCAGAAGGAGTTAGCTTTAGAAAAAGAGGAAGACTTCCATTTGCTTACTTACCATCTGGACTGTAAGCCAGAGGGTAGAGCCTAAGATTTAGTCACCATTCTGGTCTGAACACCTACCACAGTTCTGGCCACTCATAGGTTTCGAATACATAGTTGGTAAGTGAAGGGATGAATGAAATTTAAGTTTAAGCTTAAACTTTGGAACAGACAACTTTAGGTTAATTGTGTGCTCACATACATTTTTTTTTACACACTTGTTGCATCAATTTGTGAAATCTGTAAGACAAATTTCCAGGCAGACAAAATTCTAAATTTCTAAACACATAAAAACAAATATCATTTAGACCTTAAAGAAAAGTTTAGCTTTCCTTAAATCTTTCTAAAATATTTCAGGACAGATTCTGCACACCCATCCCTTAGAACCAGGGTATTAGAATGGATGGTCTGGATCACTTGATAGGATCAGAATGGATGGATCTGGATCACTTGATAGAAAAATGCAGGATATATCAGCCTCACCAAGCATAAAAACCAGCAACATTTAGCAGGTTGGGTTCCCAGGCTCTCTGGCTTGAGCTCCTTGATAGGAAAATCTGTTTTTATACAAATCCAGTCAACCTCAGAAATTCATATTCATAACGAGGATGGTTTTAAGTCATTATAGCTCATTTCTTCTAAGCAGAATAAAAATAAATAAAGTGGTGCTTAAATTTTATTATATTGCATTTAATCACTAAATTTGATTCTGGAAAGTAAGCTATTCAGGTCATAACCCCTTCCTTGCAAAAAGAAGGGTTAAAAAAAATGGTGACAAAACTTGACCTGATGTGAAAGTATTTATAGCTTTCATTTCATCTACTTGGTGTGACTATTCATTTGTTTCATAGCAGAACTGCAATGTTTTAATTATAGGGTTCTGCCTTTGGCCTCACAGGAATTGTGGGTAATAAATAATACATGCAATTTATTATTTTTTTCTGAGGTCCAAAAAAAAAATCAGACCTTCAAGGCGCATCTGGTCCCAAGGGTTTTGGATAAGGGATATGTATTCTATTACAACACTCAACCAATTCTATTATTTTTAGTTGTAAAACTTGCATAATGTGTGGGTTTTAAAGTACTTAACAAAAGTAATGTATCAGAAATACAATTAGTATTATTTTAGCATTTGGAAGTAATAAAACTTACAACTATTCTGAGTTTCCTTTCAGATATGATTGAAAGTCTTCATTTATGTTGCTTTTTCAATAAGAAATACTTCTATGAGCAAGAGATACTTCTGACCAAGAGGAAAGTTTTATAGGAAAATCCTGTAGACTATACCCAGTCTTAATACCATCATTGCAACCCATTCATCAGAATAATTTGCCACAACTTCAAATTACCCAAAGTGTTTCATTGTTCTAATTTTATAATTTTTATAATTTTTTTTATGCTTTAGATATTTTCCCTTGGAAGTTTCAAGCAGCAGCACCTGCCTGCTAGGAAAAAAATTTTCTACTCTCTGCAGGGCATAGAGCCAGTCACCAGTTGCAAACCTTATTAGGTTTATCACCTAGAGAGATATTTTCTACTCTTCCATCATACAACTGAGTAAACTCAGGCTTAATTTTTCCAAAACCATATGACTGATAAGTAACAGAACAAAATTTGAACCCAGGTATGTCTAACTCCTAAGTCTTTTCTTCAAAATACCCTGGTGCAAATAATTGACGCATGCTCCAAACTCATTCCCAACTTGTACATAGTTGGAACATAGAGGAACACTCTATGACTTCTCCATCCATGGCAGAAATGGATGCTTTTTTTTTTTTAATAAAAAACACCTCTACTAGTTGTTTGATACTATCTTTACACTTCTAGAAAATGAAAATATATGGTTTTGAAAGACACAACTTTAACACAATTGAAAATGCTGATGTAATTTTGGTTTTTGTTTTGTTGTGTTTTAAAAAGTAAGCAAAAATAATTGGAATTAGTTTGACTTATCAACAAATAAAACAAAATCAGATGATCAATATTCACCTACCTTTTAGAAGTATCATCTACATTAATTGGAAATATTATCATACATGGGAAAGAGAAAGACTTGCATCTTTTAACAACACAGCATAAAAGGACAGAGATGAAGATCATTAATGATTTTAATTATTTTAAGGCTCATTAAAATTAGGGAAATATCAAAGCACCCACAGTGTTAAGGGTTTATTATTATAGCATTTTAGAGTTTACTAGTTCATACCTTTCAATCACAGCAAGTTATTAGCAGTGAAGGGATGAACCCTCTTAAGAGGATTTTTATTTCAATGATAGGGTGTTATGAACAAGACAACCTAAGTTTAAAAAAATTAGTAGCAAGCGCTAGTTGAGTTAATCAGTTAAAGACAAACTGTGCCCTTGGGAAGCTAAATGAAAAAGCAACAGTAAAGCTTACAGAACTTAGCTCGTACAATTTGCCTTGAAGGCGGAAGATTGGTTCCCTGAAATAGCAAAGAATTATATGCTTTAGTTCAGAAAAAAAAAAGTTTTTAAAATAAAGTCTGTTATTACCTCTTCTCCTTTCAAAACAATGGAAAAAAATTTTAGAGCAGAGGTTTCAATTTGTTCAATAATTGTACCTCTGAATTAAAAAAAAGCTATAAAATCATCATTGTTTTGACTTGAAAAGAAATAACAATGCAAATACTCATTATCACATAGAACATAAAAGAAAACAGCAAACTGTCAGAGTTAATGCAATCTCTGCAGAGCGCTATTAGTCAGAGACAGCTGGCCAGCCCAAAACACAAAAACTCATAAGATCAGATCTTAGGAATTAACATCTTCATTAACCAACAGGAATTTGGTGTGGCAGAGATTGAATCCAACCACTGCATTCTTTATGAGCTGTCCCTTCACTGTTACTAAGCTGTGCAAATGTGTGAACTAGTCAGCAGCACCAGAAAGCTCATGCAACTACTCACCATATTTTAACCTTGAATTGATTCACAGATTCTATGTTAAATCAAATTTAGGGGTAATGTAAGCAAGCAAAGTGGGACACAAGGAGTCAAATTTGAAAAGCAGAGCAAATAGCAGAAAAGTTATTTAAAAATAAATCAATATGGTTAACTGCATAAAATAGCAAAAAAAAAAAAGGCAATTCACTCCAAAAACTTTAAAAGCAAAATCAAAACAAAACAAAAAGTTGCATCTCCAGCAAAATTTGCACATGATTAATTTGCATTTAAAAAATAGTCAATCAAGCCATTTAGTTCAAATTCTTTGCAGCATGCATGCACTGATTTTTTTTAAAAAACAATTCCTACCTGATTTCCAATTGTGTTTTTCTTGTGAACCTGACTGCTCCTCTGCTGAGCACTGAGAAAAGCAAAGGAGAGCAGCACTGAAGAAACTCTCAAGATGTTTTTCTGAACAAGTAGCATACAGGCTTTTAAAAAATGTCAACAACTGAAGCAGAGCTAATATTAAAAATCCAGGTCAGTTTAATTCGGGAAGCAAAACCAAGTCAGTGGAAATTCTAGTATCAATTAACAATCACAAACCAAAAACATAGTAACATCACTGGAAGAAAAGTTATATTGCTGTATTAACAACAATATGAGTCAATGCAAGTATTTGACATCCCACAGGTATGCAGATAACTGTACTGAATGTTAACAGTTAATAAACTCTGGACCATTGAGTATATGCCATGTTCTGATTGCTTTATAGATATTAGTAACTTTAGTTTTAACTTTAACCCCATGCTGTAGTCATTGTGAATCTGTTACAGATGGAGAGAGTAAGTCACAGAGAAGCAAGTGGCTTTCCCAAAGTCACTCACCTAAGTGACCATACCAAGCAATTTGAGTCCAGATCCCTTTGTGGTATTATTCAATCGCATTTCTGACAACTCCCATAGTACATCTCCAGCCTGCCCCTAACCTCTCAACTCCAGATTCATGTATGTTTTTGACAACTCAACATTTCTTCTTTCATCTAACAGGCATATCAAACTTAATATGTCAAAACTAAACTTGTGAGTCCTTCCCAAACCTGATCCACCCAGTCTTCCCCTTCTTGATTAGTGGCAATTTCATACTCCCAAGTGCTTAAGGCAAAATCCTTAATTCCTTTTTGTCTCACACCCCACACTCAATTACCAGCAAATTCTATTGACTCTACCTCTTGAGATGTATTTAAATTATAACCATCTTTTACCACTTCCATTTCTACCTCTTTGGTCCAAGCCAACATTATCTCTTTCCTGCACTGCACTTATAGTCTCCCCTCTAACATCTATTCTCACCATAGAAACCAGAGAGCCTATTAAAAATGGGATTATGTCACTCTTCTGCTTACAATGCCCCCACTGTCATTCAATTCTACTCCACTCAGGATAAAAATCAAAGTCCTTACAATGGCTCACAAGGTTCTAGTCAACTGACCCACCCTCTGATTTCCATTCAACAATCCTACTCTCCACCTCATTCATTAGAGGTCCAGCTGATCTTGTTCTTTTTTGACCCTATCAAGCACACTTTCACCTTAAAGCCTTCATGTTAATGGCTCCCTCTGCCTAGAAAACACTCCCCCCATGTATCTACATGGCTCCTGACATAATCTCCTTCAAGTCTTTACTCAAATTTATTGGCAAGATTTATCATGACCACTTTATTTAAATTTGTATTGTTCCATCCCTTTCTCCAAGATGCTCACCTCCTTTTTGATCTATTTTTTCCTATGGCATTTTTCACCTTCTAATATTATACAGCTTACTTATTTTTTGCATTTATCTCTGTCTCCATCTTAAAACATAAATTCCTTATAAGCAGGGATTTTTTTTGCCTGTTTCATTCCAAATTATAACCCCAGTGCCTAACCACTACCGAGCACATAGATGACTTCAATAAATATCTGTTGACTAAAAAGTCCAATGAAGTTAGTATCATTATAACATGAGTACAGAAGGATTAAAAGCTGGACCCCAAAAATTTAACCCCAGAGTCTTCATATTTAGTATTGTGTCACTCTATCTCTCAAAAGAATGAAGGCTCTCTTTTGGAATAAACACATGCTGATATAAGAAAACAATTCATTTTTAGTTATTCTGGGAAGACTAGCGATACCACAATCCTCTAACAGTTGCTTAATAGTTTTAATTGTTTTGGAAATCAATGAAATAGTCAAAATGGAGATAAGGTAGAATAAAGTCATCACTCAGCTATTTGAAATGATAGGATAACATGGCTAAGAAGCACATTAGATAGCAACACCACACTTAGAACAGTTATTTAAAATAGCAATCTTGTAATCTCCCATGATGTATTCAAGCTGCTTCTTTTAACTCAAGCTTGTTTAAAAAAAAAACAAACCTATAGTACATTTAACTGAGGGAGGGTAGTGAAAGGTCATGCTATAGTTGCGTACTGAACATATTTGGCATGCATTTTATATGAATTTTGTCTTTCAATTTGCTAATTTTAGCATTTCACTTTCCTCATTTTTTTGTTATTTTGTAGTTTTTAGTTAATTGCTTGATTCCCTCAATCACTATGAAATTTATCTCTCTCCAATCACTTTTCTCCACACACAAATATTTACTATTTGGGGTTTTGTGGTGAAGGTGAAGTTTGTGTCTATTGTTGACTGGGGGTCTGATGCGCCTACACTGCCCTCTGGCTGCCCATGATGCCCTCATGCACAGTGTCCAAGTGCTACTCTTCCTACGACTTTTGGTCTTTTCCATGCTTTCTTCCTCCAGGTCAGAATTTCCTTTCTGTTAAGAATAAATGGGGAAACTCCCTCCTCCTTCTCCCCTGCAGGATGTCTCTGGTTCAGAGGGAGGAAGAGAGGAGCACAGGGGACTGTGGTGATGGTGCAGGGGTGCCTTGGTGAAGGAAATTCTATGGGGACTACACGTGGGGGTGGGGAGGAAGCAAACATTGTTCAAAAAATGAACACTGATGTAAAATAAATAAATACATTAATGAATGAATAAAAAAGAATAAATGGAGAAACTACTATTATAATGTGATCAAGCCTTCTTCATGGCTACCAAGCTCCATATTGTGTTTTAGGATTTTTTAAGGGGAAATATTTTAAAATAAATCATTGACTAATAGTGATAACTTTAACACTATGACAGATCCACAGATATTTACTTGGAGTAGGCAAAGTATTGAAGACTCTCTGTAGATCACATAAGAGAAAAGAAGCTGAATATAAAGCAAAGGACATAGACTGTTGATTCCTTATGCCATGTTAAGCAAACAATATAACCTAAATTGAGCCCAGTCTGTCAGCTGTAATGTGTGTGTGTGTGTGTGTGTGTGTATGTATACATATGCATGTTTTAAGAAAGAGAGACATGGACAAAGGGTGGGGAATTGAGCTGTTTTCTAGATTCCTTTTAGGTCCAAGACTCAAGCTTTGAACTACAGTAGGCAAAGAGACTTTCCACTGACAGTTTCCATGCACTGAAAAAATGCATACTTAGCATTTATCACTTGTAAGACTATGCAAGAGAAAAACAGATTATTTTATAAGCCAAAATCAAATACTGTTAGAAAAAAATTCCCTTTGATTTTCAACTAATTTGCTTCTTTTTGAAGCAAATTGTCCCATAATTCCAAAGTTACTGTTGTCAATGATGTATTGAGGTACCTACTCCATAAGTAAAATAATAAAAATAAGCTTCCTAGTTAGAAAACATTCTTTTTCACAATTTCTATGTATGCTATGATAATTGAACTAAATGCATTTCAAAATACTCATTTTAAAAATGTATTCACGAGAAACATGTATTGACTGGCAAGGTAATTTAAGCCCTTTGGACATATTCTTGGTCAGAAGCATTTAAATGACTATCTCTGCAGTATTATAAAACATACCTATAAATAATATTCTAATAAGACATAAATCAAAAATTTTTAGGGTACCAGCTCTTTATAAGGCATAAACATGTTTATGTCTCTGGAAGACATAAACATGAGACATAAACATGATTAAGCTATGTCCTTTGCAGATAGAGGCTTATAACGTATCTAGTGCAGATGGGGAGGTAATAAAAAATATAAATTACAAAGAAAGAAAAAGTTCTATAAGAATAAATATGTGAGGATGTAATAGAAGAAAGCAAAAAAAAAAAAAAGCTTCTGTTTCAATGTGGAATATAATTACTCCCTATCATATTAGTGTGTGTTGTGTGTGAATGTATGTCTGTTGTTAATCATATAAATTCCTACTACACACAAGTCATTGTGGAAGGCTTTGCCAGTACACTGAAACACATAAAACTAAATTAGTTTTAATAGTAATGCTCTCAGACATAATGATTTTAAAAGTATATAATAAGAGGTTTTAAAAAAAATAAGAACACACTGGAAGACATTCAAAGAAAAAGAACCCATAATGTCACCTCTTGGCTCACAATTCTCTTCTGCATATTCTCATCTAGCCTTGTCCATGTGTACACACAATAAAAGATTCAAAAACAAAGTGGGCCAAGGGGGCATGTGATCAGTTACCCAGTAACTCCCATGCTTAGTAATTGCTCTGAACAGTCACATACAAGAAAGATCATTTTTGTCTGATGAGATATAAGATTTTCACAGAAAGCACCTGAAGAAAGGTGGAATTTTAATAGAAGAGGACAACCAACTGCATTTCAAGGAAATGAACTAGTATTAGCAAGGCCAGATGCTAGAAGATGAGGCATACAGGGAAGTTGTAGAAAGTAAAACTATTATGACAAAATTATATAATCATGGACTCGGGTTTGTAAATGATCTCAAGAGCCATCTAGTACAATAACTGTATGCTGGGGCCATAATTATGGAGAATTTGGCTATTAAACAGGAGGCAGCAGAAAGTATTCAAAGTTTTTGAGCCAGAAAATGGTATGATCAAAGCAGTGTTTTAGTAGAAATTATCTCCTCCAAATACTGACTCTGAAGCAGGGAAGAAAAGAAGAGGCAGTCCAGACCCCCTCCCTCTAACAGTTGGAGTTCTGCCCAGTTTTCAAAATCCAATCAAGTACCATTTCTGGGTTATGCCTTCTTAGAAACTTCTAGCTATCTCTTCATCCCCTAAACTCCCAAAGCTCTTGGTCTGTTCCTGTTTTATCTAAACAGAATTGTGTTGTAGTCTGGTCTCTGACTCCCCTCCAAAAAAACCTGCACCTTGATGACTTAAGGTGTGGATGGGTCGCATTAACTTGGGATCTCTACCTCTTTCACCACTGATATTATCTAGCACAGTGATGATGGTAGTTTCTTAAGAAATAGCTATAGAATCATATTTTAATACTGGGATCATTTACAACCAAACTACTAATTTTATGTGCAATAGGAAATTTTAAAAATTTGAAGAATTGT